TTACATTAAAATACATAACTTCTAAAGAAACTTTGCCTTAAAGCCTAATTTCATTGTGATAATTAAACTTTTTTAGCTTTTAGTTCAGTAACGCAACCTAGTTTTTGCACATGTGTATGTGGCAAAAAAATACCTGAATTATTTTTAAAGAGTGAAAGTGTTTTTACTCAAAACATATATATAATCTCAAAGATCCTTTCTAAACAAAAATATAGATATGTTTTGTTAAGAATATTGCAATAACTTGCCCTCAAATTTTACTCACTTTTTCGAATAATATAAAGAAAAAACAGCTGCTAACATTCATTAAATTTGCCTACTCGGTTTTAATATTTTCTACTCAATATTAACAATAATTTTAAGGCTTTTACACTACAAATAAAGAAAAATTTTTTTTTGAAAAAATAAATTTTTAAACACAAAATTTATCACTTCAATCGTGGAAATGCCAATATATATATATATATATATATATATATATATATATATATATATATATATATATATATATATATATATATATATATATATATATATATATATATATATATATATATATATATATATATATATATATTTATATATATATATATATATATATATATATATATATATATATATATATATATATATATATATATATATATATATATACAGCTGCTGGTGAAATTTAAATTGCAATAGTCTAGATCATCCTGTATTTATTAACAGTAATGTACTTGATGTCTCAACTACCCTTTATTTCCTAGGATTACCTATTACTTCCTATCTTTCTTGGAAACTATATATATAATTGATTGCAAAATTAGCATCTGCTAAGGTTGCATTTCTTTATAGTGCTCATTAATTTCTTTCTCCAGATACTATTCTTTATCTGGAGTCCCAAAAAGACTCCAGCTTTATAAGTTTTTTTTTATGGTCTCTGGTATCCAGAAGCTCTAAACATGTTGGTTGATTAATGATTAATGATAAGAAAAAAAGTTATGATATTAAATGATTTGGAACTTATTGTTTTTAATCCTGGGTTTGAAAATTGATTGTTCTTCTGATCTATAAGTCTTGGTTTTTTTCCCTATCATAAGCCCATAACCCTTTTTATATTTTATAAGTTATATTTTATAATCTTTTTGTGACTCCACATCCCTGTATATCTCAAATCAGTCTTTATATGGAATATTTTTAAAATAATATTTTATTCTCTACTTTAATCTTATTATTTAAAAAACCATTTAAAGTAATAAGATTAAAGAACAAAAAAGATTTAAGATCTGCCCATTATTGCTGTACTTCTTAAAAATAACAAACTATTTTACTTGCAGCAAGGGAATTATGAAAAAATAACAACTAAACAATTATCTCCATAAACCCAAATATGACAATCACTAAAAGGCTAATTGATTCTGAACTTAGAAAAGAAAGAAACAAAAAAAAAACTTCTAGAAAACGTCATCCAACTCAATTTTAGTAAAAAAATATATATATTAAAATTAAAATGAATAGGATTAATTTTAAAATCTTTTCAAAAAATTCTGGAATATAAAAGCTGTTTACACATGTAATGTTTTGTTATTATAAAGAGAATTAGACTATGATTTTTATTTAATATTTATTTCAATATTTTTCATATTAAATAATCACAACTAGTTTAAATATAAAACTATATATAGTTTCACGCCGAAACTTCAACTACAATTTAATTCAGCGCACTGGCTTTTAAGTGAGAATTCCTCGTGCGGAATTCTCTCAAGGGAATACTTTCGTTATAAGTTTTTGTGCAATTCCCGAAAGGGAATTGCTTGTTTTGCAATCGCTAATTGCTATTCTGAATTGTTTTGTGTAACAATTATTACAACACAAATACTGACTTACTAATAAATAAACGTTATGAGCTCATACAAATTTTTAATCAATTTAAAACCTCAATTTATTTATATACCTGAAACTCTACCCAAAAAAAAAAATTTAAAATCAATTATCATAAGTTTGCTACCATAAATTATTCATTATATGCAAACCACAGCAACATTTTATGCCTTGAGGTTAAGCAATATTTATACTTAACACCCTAAAGTCATCCTTATTAAACATTGACATATTTCATAGTTGTGAAGTTATAACAAATGAATCACACCAACATGGATTTTGCCAAGTTCACTCCTGTTTAACTAACCTACTAAATGTTATTAATTATTGGACACTATCACTTGATAATAATATTCCAATTGATAATATTTATACAATATTTTGAAAAAGCCTTTGACAAAGTTCCACACAACTTTCTTATCTCAAAATTTAAAGTTTATAGTATAAATGACCCATTACTTAGTTGAATATGAAACTTTCTATAAAACTGTTGAAGAGTTGTTGTAAATAACATTTTCTTAAACTGGGTTTCCGTTTAAAGTGGAGTTCCCTGAGGCTTTGTCTTTTCTGCATTACTTTTCATTATTTATGTCACTGATATCCCTGAAATAGTCAAGTCACAAACAGCACTTTTTGCTGATCATACTAAAGTCATTTTTTCTCTTGAAAATCTCTGCAAGAATTAGGATGTTAACGCTCTTGTTATATGATCTCATAAATAGGGAACGAAATTTTACATTTATAAATGCTCTGTATTACACTTAGGACAGAACAACAAATCCCATACACTACGTATGATTCACTGCGTACACTATGTATGAAAACAAAGGAATCAGCATTAAGCCCACAATTTATGAATTGGATTTAGGTGTTCATGTAGACTCCAATTTGTTATTTTCAAAACACATAACTATTTAAATCAACAAAGCAAAAACATGAAAAAAAAGTGTGGGGGGGGGCAGATTAGAGCACAAAATACTTTAAATATAAACAGCTAACAAGCTGAATGAGTACTGAAAACTGAATGATATCTTAAAAGATTTGTTTTAAATTTCCAAACAATTTTCTGGTGTGACTAAGCATTGGAGTTGCTTGAATACAATTAAATTTTTTTTTAAACGAATTCTCTCCTAACAAGACTGCAACCACTTAAGTTAAAAGGTTAAAAGGTTTTATGATTTTAAGTTAATTCCATAAAAAAAGTTAAAGACCAAAAAAGACATTGAAAGAAAGCTATAACTGTTAATTATTTAAGTTATGTAAAATGATGAAAAAGAGAATTCCAAAGATGTACAAGGGTAAAATTTGTTAAGCATAAAAAAAAAGTACAGTAAAAGAATGCAACTCAGCTGAATAATGAGTCATGTGAGATTGAGTTTTGCTTGATGAAACAAGTATTTTGCTTGATGAAACAAGTGTTTTTGCTTGATGAAACAAGTGATTGTTTCAGCAGCAACCACAGTAGTATTTGTAGAAAAAAAAAGTGTTACATCTTTATGACAATGAGACTGAGGTTCCTGCCTAGTTACTAGAGTAGGTTGAAGAAAATTGTTTGTTTTTTTTTATGATTGGGTTTTTTTTTATAAAAAAGAGAGACGGATTTATTAGAAGAACCATCCCAAATATGATAGCAGTTTCCCATGCAAGGATAAAGAAGAAATTTTTAAGTAGAGAATAGAATTATGAGTAACAAAGGCAGGTAATGCCAACTTAGCAAATGCGAATTTTGCAAGCAATGTAAGTAGAGGTTGTTTATCAATTTAGAAACAATATTGTGATTAGCAGTAAACAAATGACTATTGTTTGGGTTAATATTCACCAGCCACTGCAAAATAGCAGTAAACAAATGACTTTTGTTTGGGTTTGTTTGGCCACTGCAAGATAGAGACTATAGACAGGACTATATAGTTTTGTTCTCAGCAAAAAACAAGTTAGTATTTCAAGAAGATTATTATAAAAAAGAAAAAATAATAATGCATGATAAAACATGAAATCTTCTAATACCCCACAAAATTTCTATCCATGGTCCTGTGTTGGATAAAAGGACAACTGGAGTTATTTTTCTATCAAGGACAACTTTTAATTCAGCATTTAAAAAGGAATCACTTGATAATTTTGAAAAGATTCCCAAATCACCATATGAAAAGATTATGCCAGACTTTATTTACTTTAAAGTCCTTTGATATGTTAAGAACCTATTTAAGTTTAGCAGTTGTTAGACTTAAATGAGGTCATCAAAAGTTTTTAATTAAAGATTCCAAATTACAACTATTAGCAAGAGCTTATAATTTTAAAAGAATGATTAAATTTTTAGGCGGCAGTGGTATAATGTTATGGTTGTCCAGCAAAATAATATGACTCAGAGAACAACTGAAATTACAGAATATATTGCAGACTTTTGCCCAGCAGCATGGCAATTTAATAATTTGTTAAGAGAATGAAAAATATATAGACCTAAATAATTTGTTGAGAGAATTAAAAATACAATGACCTAAATAATTTGTTGAGAGAATAAAAAATACAACCACCTAAATAATTTGTTGAGAGAGTCAAAAAGTCTAATATTACTTAAACTGCAAATTACGGATTAGCAGTTGCCTTTTTAATAATTAGTCTTCAAAAACTTTCATTTTCTGAAAGTTTTTGAAGACTAATTATCTGAGATACAATATAAGATTTAGTAATGAAAACATTTTTGCATTAGTTTTGTCACTCTCCTTAATCAAAAATCTGAAAAGATTTCATAAATAGTCTTCTATATTATTGTTTAAACACAAAGTTGTTTTGATGCTTCGTATTAGTTTTACCTTGCTTTTCATGACTCAACACATACAAACCTTTTTAATAAAATATTCTTTCATTTATTTTATATAAACAAAAAAAACTTTTATGTATTATAATACTTAAAAATAAAGTTATGATCATATCAAGGCTTTTCTTTTTCCTCTTTTTTTTTTTTTCCTGTTTCAATAAAAAAATTAATTAGTATATGTTTAAAAAACTATATAAGTTTAGTTTATGTAAGGGTGGCACGATTTAAAGAAATGTGAAATGACCTAGATTTATGCAATAGTTGCATAGTTTTAAGAAATGTTGAACCCTTAATTTCATATTCAATTATAAATTGTTTTATTTAGGATGGCAACTTATATTTGCTGCAAGAAGGTTCAAGTAGCAGTTCACCAAAACAGTTGCCAAATCAGAGGGACATTTCTACGAACTAATTGGAAGAAAACGTTTCATCAAAACCCATTTGCTTTCTTATACTCATTACTTGTTATATTTCTTTTATATGTTTTATATATAACAAATCAAAAGCATGACTTTTACAAGCATGAAAACCATATTTACAACGAAGGAAATATTCATGACAGCCACAACTCAAAGTTTCATTATGCTGTTGTCATAGATTGTGGTAGTAGTGGATCACGTGTTTATATTTATTATTGGCCTCCGCATACAGGTGACAAACAAGAATTACTAAACATAAAACAAATGTTGGATTTTGATGGAAATCCTGTTAGAATGAAAATCAAACCTGGTATTTGAAATTTTATACTTTCCTTTTTTCAGTTTATGTAATTTTCATAATATGTAATTTGGTTTATTTGTATGTGTTTTCATATGTTTTATTTTTATCATAAATTAAAATAGTTAATTAGCCACTGCGACTCAGTAGTTTGAGTGTTTGCTTTAGAAGCAAAAGGTACAGGGTTTAATGCGAGCTCTGTGCATATTTGTGTCATTGCTAAGAAAGGAGGTATGAATTTTCTAGTTAAATGTTCTTCCGTGGTGCGCTGTGACAAGAGTGTTAGTTCTTTTTTTTTTTTAATTATTTTTTTTAAAGAAAATAAAAAAAAAAATAGTAAGAAATTATAATTTATATTAAAAAGTAACGATAATACATAATAAAAAGTAATGATAATACATAATCTACATAATAAAAAGTAACGGTAATACATAATCTACTTAATAAAAAGTAACGGTAATACATAATCTACTTAATAAAAAGTAACGGTAATACATAATCTACTTAATAAAAAGTAACGGTAATACATAATCTACTTAATAAAAAGTAACGGTAATATATAATCTACTTTATAAAAAGTAACGGTAATACATAATCTACTTAATAAAAGTAAAAAATGTTGAATTATAGAAAAAGTAAAATCTTAATTTATTCATCATTTCTTTCCAATTGCATTATTAAAGTTATCTTTAACAAAGAACATTTTCCTTCATTTCTTTTAACTTTTGTGAAACCACAAGGTTCAATCTTACCTTGTCCTGTATTGTCTCTTGATAATCTTATCTCTAAAGTTGTTCTTATTGCAAATATAGACACTCTAAACTTGACAAAAAACTCATCACTTTTTGATATCTTAGAATAAGTAACTGGTCTTGGAAATGATTAATTTTCTATATTAGCTTGGGGCTTTCACAGATGCATTATCCTAATCAAAGCTCAGTTGTTCAGGGTGTTAGCAAGCTAAATGGCACTGTTTATATTGTTGATTTTCTGAGTTCTCTATTTTAAGTCTTTTAAAAATACCTTTCACTACTGACTGTTAATAGAAACTATATATCCAATCGAGTAGCATTGCAATCATTATTCTAGCCTTAATTAGAATAATGACTTCAGCAAAATTTGCATTTTTTAAGGTTTTTACTCTATACTTCTATAAATCTTTTAATTGTCTTTGACTAAAATACTGTCATATTTAAGCTAGTTCCTCTAATGAGATCCTTTCTTTTTTAGATAAAATCCAAAATGGCATTATATATATGTATTTTGGTTATGACTTTTTGACTTTTTTTAAAAAAAAATAATTTCCTGTGTCGATGAACTTTTATTAGAAAACAATGAAAACATGTTCAATTCTTCTCAGTTTTAAAAAAAGGTCACCCCACAATTTAAATTACATTTCTTTATTTATTTAATCTTGCTACTGCACTTCTAATACATTTGGCTTTCCTGCAAACCATTTAAAACTTGTATAGATTAGAAGTGTTTAGAACTTAAAACATTTCAAAAAATTACAGAATATTTTAGAAGACTTTAGAACATTCTAGAACAATTCAAAACATTTTGGAACAATTTAAAACATTCTAGAACAATTTTAAAAATTTTGAAATATTTTAGAACAATTTAGAACATTCTAAAATATTCTAGAACATATTAGACTATATATAGTTTATCTAATTTTATAGTTATTACAAAAGCAACACATGGCGTCGTACAAGCCTAGCGATAGTAGCATTCTGGACCAATAATCTGGTACAATTTGAAGACTCTCATGAAAGAAGAAGAATGGTCTCTTAGGAAGAATATTCACTGGAAGAAAAGTGAAGAATCCCTCTCCAAAAGCAAATTATTGGATGCTACCATTTCCTTGGACCAAAAATTAAAGGAAGAAAAGAACGAATAGCGAAAATTTCTAAGGAAGTCACCAAATTGTGGAGTTGAATTTTCCTCATGTATCTGATAAATTTATAAAAGCAAAGCTTAATGAAATGTTATGTTAAATATGTCAAGCGGGCAAGCTGCGAACCCCTTGATAAAATTTTTGATATTACTAAAATGGATCAAACATGGTTATTTTCCGAGGACAAGCGATTGTACCATCTCTAAGTGGAAAGCAAAGGAACAGTGAGATACTCTACAGGCCAAGCAGCCAGTAAAGAAACAATCCATCCCTCTAAAAGTGAAAAACTTTCTAATAAGTTATACAACTCATCATCTTACTATGCTGTTTTTAGTGATTCTAACTCACAGAAAACATCATAAAAGCAAAATTGCAGTCAACTTGGTGACCTCCAAGAATATCAAAAAACAAAGCTGCTAACATGCAAGCAATTGGCTCGTAAAGGGATTGACATCCCAACTCCATGTCAATCAGCTATTTACAATTTAATCAATCAAAGAGGCAATCAAGCTGAAGAAAGAAATGATTGAAAAGTTGCATATGGAAAGTTGGTCCTTATACTTTGATGACAGTTTATGTTGATTTATACTGTATGGCTGAGCAGACCATTGGTTTACAGACCAACTGTACAACCAAAACCACTTTAATAACTTTATTGAAATATTTAGTCCATAAAAAAAGCTTCAAGCTCTTTAAAAAATCACTGGAAGCAAGAGCCAGATACTACAGCGAGAAGCGAGAGCCATCCATACTACAGATACCCAAAAGTAATCAATCTGCAGAGCGTGCAATCAAAGTAATGGAGGAAATTTATATATCAAAGACAAATTGCGCCTTCGATTACTTCTGTGCAACAAGCAAGAGCAAGGTCAATGGCCTGAGTCATTGTTGAATTTACTTGACTATACTAGTTATACAACAAAGTTAGAACTTATTACTTAAAAAAACTTAAGCAAATTCTGTTTAGATGCTAAAACAGGAAGAAGTTCTCTGTAAGCCATTGTTGCCATTATAAACCCATCCCGCCTCTCTTGTCCGTAAACTGCCAGAAGCTCTTGTAACTTCCTTTAAAATTCTTTCTATGGATTGTCTGTGTACTGGGAATTCTGGAATTTCCATCTGGATTTCTAAGAATGTAATAAGTTCTTTTTTACTAATGTTGCATGTGAGCAAAGGTTCTAAATATCAGTACTTCAATTAATCAATTCAATAATAGTTTCAGCATCAATGTTAATTTTTGGAATTTTTCTTGATCTAACGCAAGTTTTTCTTAGAGAACTTAAATTTCTTAGTGAAAGTATTGTCATCACTGCAAGTATCCTCTCTTTTTTATCTTTGCTGCAAAGTAGTGCTTGAAGTACGGATTTACTGTGAGCATTCTCGGAAGAGCAACAAACATAGGGTAAACTGTTTTCTGAATATTTAAGTTCATTTTTTGGACAAGTTTTAACTTTTTAATATGGTATGATTTGTTAGCCCATTTTTGTTTTACCTAAACATTTTTTATTAACAAAATTATCCATACACACAAATAAAAGTTATCAAAGTAAACAAAAAAAGTTTTTACCTTAATTTCAAACCATAATACAGAGTAACACCAACACAGAACTGTACAAGGTGTTTTAAATTCTCAGCATCGTTTCCATTTAGTCCATGATGTGAACACCAGATTCTGCAAAGCCTACTTGCCAAGTTTAACCAGCGTGCATGATTGTAGGGATCAACTTGAATTTCTTTTAAATCGTCTTGAATTATTTTATCTTTGATAGCTTTAGTTATTTGGTTTAGATATCTTTGATCATTAAATAAGTTTTTTAATGTACCATCATCGATATCTAATTAATCAATATCATCTATAGATTGAATTGCATTAGTGAAGATTTTAAGGTTATTGGTAATAGGGACAAGTTTACCAATATTGCCAGAAAACTTATTGCTTGAAATTGAAGAAAGAAAACTTTCCATAAATCCTAAAAGGTAAAGTTGATTCTGGATTCAATAGCAATAAGTCTGATCCAGTCACAGTGAAATCTAGCAAGAAAATTCAAGACTTTACGCTCTTAAATCAAAAAAGAACTTAATAATTCTGGAATTAAAGCATTTTAAAAGAAAGATACACCCCAGAGAAGCTTAAATGATGAAATTAAAGGAATTTGACGCCGAAAGAAGTTAGTTAAAATAATGGCAAATAAAAGTATGTGCATAATTAAAGACGACAAAGTATATTGCAAGGCGAATTTTTCATAACTTTTTGGTCAATAATTTTACTATGAGAACAAAGATAAACCTGTCAATAATCAATTTAAATATATTTGACGAGAAAAATTTGCATCCAAGTTCCTTGTGTGGCAAGATATTTGTAAATGTAGTATGCAGTCCTCTTGTTTTGTCACTAAGAAGACCTTGACTACCAATCTCTACATTTGAGGATGCCTCTAAAATAGACTTTTATAGAAAAACACAAATACTGATGTCTCTTTTAGGCAGATCTTGCTGCTTCTCAATATTCTAAAAAAGTTCTACAGTGGTGCAAAGATAATATGAAAACTGTTCCTAATATATAATATGAAAATAATATGAAAACTGTTCCTAAAGATGCGAATCCTCCAAATTGTCCTAAAGAGCACAAGATTGAAGATTTTTGGGCAATAGTTACAGAAGTTCTTCATAAAGCAGGTGTAGTAACAAAAAATAAAATTAATACAAAAAAAGTGGATTAATGCCACCAATAAAGTGAAGAAAGAAAAAAACTGGCATCAACCTGCTATAAAAAAGCCTATCAAGCCTTTTAAAAATAAGTTAAAACCCTATTTGATGTAAACACATATAATTAAAAAAAATGGAAACAAAAAGCATTTATGGTTTTAGAGAAATCTCAATTTAAAGTTGACTGGATTTTTTCCATCTCCAACCAATATAATCGATTTATATATATGTTCTGCTATATGCTCTGCTGGGGTAATAAACTCAGATCTGTTTTCTTTGTCATTTGTAAAATTGTACAGATATAAACCACCTGGTTCTGCAAAAATTAAATAATGGTCTTTTTGTACAAGTCTGTGGTGAAATTTTCCATCTTCTCCAATCAAAAAAAAATTTGTCTTACCTTTTCTCCCACCAAACATTATATATTAAACTCTACCTTACCATTATTTTCAGGTTTTAATTGCCTCATCACCTTCAATTTAGAGCGTTCAATTTTCTTGTGATCTGTCACTGTTTTACTGTCAGTCACATTTGTTTTAAAACGCCTGCCTCTTTAGCTGCTTTCAGTTTTATTGTTGAAATTGCAACAGTTTTTCTATTTGATACACCATATCTTAATGACGTAATGCAACTTTTTTCATATTCAATGATTTTTCAGGAACTTGTCTGCCTATGTACTCAGGATTTTATTTGGAAACAACATCTTCATTGTCAGTATTCTTATTGTTTTCAATTAACACTGTAGTTTTTTTTCTTGAGAATAAAAAGATAGGCATTCTATTTGTAACTTCTTTTTTCCAGTTTCCTTCCTTAAATAATTTCTTTCTTGTCTGTTATCTTCTTTAAAATCTTGAGCACCCGTTTGCAAACAAATTTTTGACCCTAATTTTTTTCTTTGGGATTTCATAAACTGAAGTTTTATTCTGGCAATTTAGTTTTCTATCTTGCATTGACAAAAAATATGAGCTTTAAAAACACATGAACTACAACTTGCCTCCTTATAAGAAACAATATCACACTTGCACTTTGCTATATCAAACAGCTTGTCCAGATAGAGTTAAACTTAGAAGTGGTGTCAGTATTGCAACTGAAGTAACAATATCTGTAGCTTTTTTCCATAATCTAATTAGTTTATTAATATCGACTTTGTCCATAACAATAGGAATTTCAGGATTTGTTTTCAACCATTGTGCTTTCACTTAAAAAAACCTTTTTGCATGTATCATTAAGTTTTGCATTTGCTTTACAGCTATTATCTCTTCTTAAAAGTATTTAATAACATCTCTTAATGTTGGTCAGGATCTAAAAAAAGATCTTAATTTGCAACTTTGACTATTTTTACGTGTTTGTTCAGCGATTAATAAGGAACTCAAAGTTTACACTAGTTTATAAACAATATTTATCGTGACTAAACGTGTCAACTCAAATGCAGCATTTTAAATGCATCATCTTATGAATGATATTTTTTAAATTATTTTATATAACTTATTAAATAAATTCAAGTTTAAATAAATTTTTTTTTTTGTAAAAATGCATAATATTTGGAAAGTATAGCAAAAATAATGATTTTTGTAAACTTTAAAAATGATAAGTTTTTAAGTTAAAATGATTGTCTAGGTGTCTAATAAAAGGTATTTGAGATCAAGAATACGAGTCAATGGAAATAATTGGTCAAAAGTTGCGGCAAACCGCATATATTGCATTTTTTACCCAAAACCTTGGTTTTTCAGGTTTAAATTTGAAAACCTAAAAATCAAATTTTTTAATTTTTTTTTTTTTTTTTGCATAAGTTTCACATAAAAGACAACACATTTAAAATTTATATGGCCTAAGAATTGTTTTTTAAGTAGTTCTCTTATAATTAATAAAATAAAATAATACTTACTTGTTGAAAATAAAATTATAAAAAGTTAATTATCTATTTATGGCTTTTAATCCTAATATTGAAATATTTTAATCCAATTATTAACATAAAAAATTTTAATCCTTATATTAGAATAAATTTTTTTTATACTAACATTAAGGTAAAATTTTAAAAATTAAATTAAGATAATATTTTATATAAATTATATTAAGATAAATGGATGGTGTTAAGGCCAAGTGGACTAACCTCAATTTTCAAAATTATTCAGGATACAGTTTTTTTATTAATTATAAATTATATTTAATAAAAAATAGTGATAAAATAAATAATTATTAGCAATAATTTTTTTGTTTGCTTGTTTTCGTGTTTCAGAGTTCTCTTCCTTCTGTCACGGTTTAGTGATTTATGCACTTATCACTTTAAGTTTTATTTGACTGGTTTCTTATCACTTTAAGTTTTATTTCAGGTTTCTTATTTTCCCAATTAGAAAGACGCCTACTGTTTTGTTTGAATTTGTTTTATTTCAAACTAGAATCTTATTAATTTATGTCATTATGGGTGAAACCTTATGTCATAACATCTTAATTATAGGTTGAAACCTTATGTCATAACCTTTTAGTTGTAGGGTGAAACCTTGTTATAACATCTTAGTTGTAGGGTGAAACTTTTTAGAATGTTTTAGAAAAAAAAATTTTTTTTTTAATCTTGTAAGCATTTAAAAAAAATTTAAAAAAACACAACGACAAAAAAAAGTATTCAACCTAATTTTATCATATAACCTAGGGGTGCAGAGTCATTAGGTAAGTTTTATTTGGGTTCATGACTCTAATTGGTTTCTAGAACTGGGTACTATCATTGACATAATAATGATATCAATTCTTTTCACAAATGTGATAAATCAACAAAATCACTTTAGCATGGTTTTATTAACAAACTAAAGTCAGTATATTTGGTGTTATTACTATTATATTTTCCTATAATAAAAATAGTTTATTTCAAAATGGTAAAATCGTTTATTTAAATAACATTTTGCCTATCTTAAGTGTAAAAATAGAAAATATGAAATTAATTTATACCAAATAATCTGATATTTGCACTAGTTTAAAGTATATTATATATTTAAAATTAATTCTTTTAACTATAGGCATATCTTCATATGCAGATAATCCATCTAATGCATCACATTCATTGAAGCCACTTCTGCTGTTTGCCATGGATCATATCCCTCATAATAAGTATTTAGAAACTCCGCTCTATATATTAGCCACTGCAGGTATGCGTTTACTTCCTGAATCAAAACGTGAGGCAATACTAGAAAATCTTCGCGAGAATATACCTACTATGTCACATTTTCATTTTGTTGAATCACAATTAGAAGTGATATCAGGAAAACAAGAAGGTTAAGTGTTTATTTAATAGATTAACTAATATGTTATATATGCAAGCCTTCTCAGGAGATACGCCTGGTTGCATGCCTATTTTTATTAAGTTATTAAGTTTGAGCTCTTAATTGAGACACTTCTAAATTGAAAAATATATTAGTTTTATGCTTTTATTTTATCTGGTTTATCCTCTATTTATTTTATCATTTGTTAAATTTGTTTCTCTTTTCAGTTTGGTGGTTTTTATTTCAAATTTTCTCTTTAAATTAGTTTGGTTTTTTCAGCACATTTTCTAAAACAGGCAAATTATTATTATGTGGAAAAAATCGTGGCCAAGTTGTCAAAAAAAAAAATCTATGCATGGTCATACATAGCGTGCAATACGTATACCAAAGCATAACAAAAATATGACCTATACTAAAACATAACAAAAAAAATATGACCTATACCAAAACATAACAAAAATATGACCTATACCAAAGCATAACAAAAATATGACCTATACCAAAGCAAAATTCAATTTTTTAGGAATTTATCTCTGGATTGCAACTAATTATATTCTTGGTCGTTTTGATCATTCCCATGATGTTTCAACCACACCCTCTAGTACAGTTTCACATCTAATTAGAAAGCAAACAATGGGGACTATTGAAATTGGGGGTGCATCATTACAAATAGCTTACGAAATATCACAGAATGTAATTGTTTTTTTTATTTTATTTTTTTATCATTAAATTATTGTTTTATCATTAAATTTTTAAATTTTATCATTAAATTTGTTTTAACAGTTGCTTTTATATACTATTGTTAATTTTTATTTTTTTGTTTTAATTACACATGCACTTTTTTATGTACTTTTTGCTTTGTTTTGTTTAAGGCATCGATTCCCCCAGAACTAGGGTCCACAATAAATTTAGGGTGTGACATTCATGATACAGTTCACAGATACCAAATTTATGTCACCACATTCTTAGGTTATGGCACAGATTCTGCATGGAAAACTTATGTTCAAAAACTTTTTGAAGATAATGTAAACACAATAAGGTTCTTTTTAATTTTTTATGATTTTTGATTTTTGAATGTTATTTTGATTTTTAACAATAATTGAGCTAGTTTGATTTTTACTTTGTTTGTGATGCTATTGGAACTTTTTAAAAACTTGTGATAAGTTATAATTTTAAAATTAGACAACATTTGGAAGATTAGTTTCTATCTTTAAAATTTTTTACATTTCCTATGCTTTATTTATAATATTATTACCTTGTGAAATAAGTAATTTGTGTTGTTTTTAGGTTAAACATGACCCTAAAAACAATTCAATTTTTTTGCAGGATGGATCCTCTAAGACCTGTTGCATAAAAACATGTTGATTTGTTTGCAGAGGGTTGTAGGATAAATTAAAATAAATGGAAACATTTTTGTCAGCTATTACACTTTTATTAGTGCAGTTGATCACAGCACAATATGAAGATTTCTCAATAATGAATTATTATTTGTTAAAAACATAATAATACAAAATACAGTATACAATTTCAGCCAAATTTGTTGTTGTGAGTTGTTATTGTGTTCTATACTATCAGGACATCCCAAAATGTCTTTTGTGTAGGATTACGCTTGAAAAAATGTCAACAGGCCTTGGGTTTTCCTTATAAAAAATAAACTTTACAAATAACTGCATTCAATATGATTTTCAATTATCAGTTGAAAATAAACAAAAAAGCGGTGGGCTATATTTGAGTTTATCTTTCTTATTATACTTTTATAACCAGCTATTAATTTTTAAAGTTTAAGCGTACAAATATTAACTTGTAAACAAAACAAGTATAAAAAAAAAAAAAGAAGAAATAGTTTTGGTTAAATGCTATTAGAGTTAAGCACTCTTTGGAGTTAAAACTGCCTGATACTCAAAAAGTAAGCATGGAAATCTAAGTCGGTAATTTTTTGTTTTCAGTTTAAAAGTTTTATTGAAAAAAATATTTTTTGTTCAATAAGTGCTCCAGATTAAAGTACTTTTTCATAGATTTAGTTCACATATTTTTCCCAATTGTTCACAATATAAATTTACAATTTAGTTCACTGATCACACGAATTGAAGAGCCTCTAGTGCTATAATGATAAGTGAATTAAATTGCGAAATGTTTTCGAGAGCCTTGATGTCTCCCTTCAGATGTGGTGACCACGATTGGATGGCGAATTCAAGGTGTGATCTAACATACAATTTGTAAAGGATTTCTTAAGTCAACCAAGTACCTGGTTTGCTCTTGCAGCCGCTGCTTCAACTTGATGCTTGACTTTTAAGTCTTTTAAAATAAGAATACCTAGATCTTGTTCAATTGAAGTCGTATCCAGTTCTTTTCTTATTTCTATCTGATCAGTTATTGTATAGGCAACAACTGATTTGTTGGAGCAACCTATGTGCATGCATTAGCATTTGTCTAAATTAAATATTAGTAGCCACTTTTTTAGACCATTCTACAGTCCTACCAATATCTATCTGGATATGTGCTTTGTCCTCCTTAATTCTGATTACACCTAGTATTTTGCTGTCGTCAGCATATATCTTGATGTGGTCAGCTATGTTGTCAGGTAGGTCATTAATATAGAGGATAAAGAGCAGCGGTCCTAGCACCAATCTCTGATGCACTCCACTAGTTACCTCTTTCCACTCAGACTCAGCTTTGTAAACAACAACCCTTTGCTTTTAGTTAGCCAGCCAGTTTGATATTCACCCGAACAGTGAGCTGCAAAAACCATAAGCTTTTAGTTTATGCAGAAGTCTTTTGTGCAGCACTTTGTCGAAGGCTTTCGCAAAATCAGTGTATATCACGTCTATGGCATAGCCATGATGTACTGCATCCATCAGAATGTTGCAAGCTAGTAGAATGTTGCAGCTTCATTTAAATCATACTTTGCTTGGGTTCAATCTCTGAAGTTTAGCATTTGATCTAGAGGCTCAGAAACAAATGCCAACTGAAAATAGTTATTAATTAAGTGTGAAATTTCTTGCATACTTGTAGTTATTTTTCCTGCATTATTTTCAAGGGATTTTACCTTTTTATTTTCCATTTGTTGATTATGAAATAAGTTTTGGGTCATAGTTAAAACTTGCTGCAATCTCTCTCTCATAGTCAACTGTTGATGCTTTCACCATCTTGCTGAGTCTTTTACATGCTGCTTACATTGTGCTCCTTATGTATTTCCTCATGCGCCCATCTACTAGCTGCTAAGTATTTGCGCCATAGTGCTCTCTTCTCTCTCAGCTTCTTAAACTTCAGGGGTGTTCCATGGTTCTTTTTTACTCTTAAAAGGTAACATAGTTGCAGATATAAGGATTTCAATTGCTTTATTAACTTTTTCTATTGTAATTTATAATTATATAAGATACTTATCCAATCGATGGCTATTATTGGTGCTGAGATGGCATCGTATTTTGCTCTGATTTATATATACCTCTTTTGGTTGTTGTCTGTCATTCTGTCGTTGTTTGTTACAAATGAACCAATGATAAAGCAATGTGATTCAACTGCTGGTCTGTGACTTAGTGAGTTGCTTTTATGTAGATCGATAATTCGGTCTGGTTTGTGATAAGTGAGTCAAGTGTGCTTTTTGCCTCTTCTCTATTTCTTTTATAGGTATGGTATGTTACTATTTGTGTAAGGAAGTTCATGTTTAGACTGTTGGAATATCATATCACTTTGATGTTCATTTTGCGTGTGGGCAACTGTTGCTGATGCTCTGTCCAAGTCAAGTTCCTTGTATGTTGTGTGACTGAAGTTCAAGTTGCCGTAGACTAACATGGATGAGCATTCTAGTTTTGAAATGCTTTGTTATGCAGTATGGATTGTCTTTATTACTTTTTCAAGCATTACTTTATCATTGTCCTGCGAACGATAAATGCAACTTTGGAGAATTGACTCTTTACCTAACTTTAAAACTGGCTATTCTTGCTCTATGTTCAATTGCGTTATATCCGTTTCTAGTTTATTATTTTTTATGTATATTACAACACCGTCTCCCTTACCTCGTCTGTTTTTTTTTTGTGTTTGGTATCATTGTAGTCAAATGTCTGACGTGTCAGTGAATAATGACTCTGCAAAGAACAGTAAGTCTGGTTTGTCTGCTGGTTCTTCAATGTCTATTCTGCAATCAGCTCATCTTGTTTGGCACCATTCAGTGAGCGTGGATTATTTGCCCAAAAATTGAGTTGTTTGTGATTGGCTTTATTAGTAGTGGCAGAAGACTAGAAATTAAATGTGTTGGAGTCAGGTTGGTGAGATTTAGGCTTGAGCCGTGCTTGCTGTGGCCGACGTGGTGGCAGTAGTTACAACATTATTTTGATTGCTGTTGTTACTGGTGATGGTGACTGAATTGATTTTGTTGAATTGATTTTTGCTGATCCACATACACTTCTTGTTGTTACTGGATTGTTCAACGTCAATATATCACACAGATCCAGTTTGTCTGTGGATGATCCAGCGAAAAGGCTTATCCAATTTTGCCTTTACAAGCTCTTCATTCTTTTGCTTGAATACTTTGAATTGCTTCTTGTTCGGCTAGAGTACAGTTATTGCGTGTGTAGACTTGTGCTGTTGTGTTAGTTACCCTTTCTCAGTGCCTCACATTGGAGTTTGTCAAATGTGTCTGTTGTACTTGTTCCAAGTTTAATTGCTGCATCGGTAACATTGTTTATGATCGTTTCTATGTACTTTTTTTGATTGTTTCTTATCGTCATTATGATCTAATAGTTTTCAAGTTATTCAAAATAGTACTTGATGATAGGGCTACCACTCTAAATTGCGGATTACCTCTTGATCGAGAATTTTTTGAACTTTTAATCTTTAACTTGTTAACACAGTGTTGAACAAAAGTGTTTTATGTGTTGTTTTTTTTGTGCTTTTATTTTATTTTGGTTTGTTTTCTTTTTTATAAACAATAAGTTTGTGAACAGTTACACTTAGTTACATGAAAATTGTGATTAATTTTTTATTTGTGATTTATAATATTCTAAAAAAAGTACAAACTATTATTAAGAAAAATTACAAAAAACTAGATACAAATTATAAAAAAATCAACTTAAGAATTAGAATAAAAAAGTAAATGCCTAAATTAACAGCATTAATTTGGACATGTTATAGGTCTGTGAGAAGGACAACACAAAAATTTAGTGAAAGAAATTATAGATTATAGATTGCATCTAGTGCTAAGGCTAGAACTTAGGCTAAAAATGTTGTATTCAGTTTATATTAAACAGACTTTGTATTAAACATATTTATTAAGGGTTGTCTTAATTCAAGATTCTCAATCTTGAATTAAGACAACCCATTAACAAATATGGCATAATTCATATCACCCATTTATACTAAATTATGTATTGCATTTAATTTTTTAAATAAATCTTGAAAAATTAGCTTATTATAATCTTTTTGTATTTTTTTAAACAGTATCAATGTATTACCAAATGTGGCAGAAAAAAATTATTTTAATTTGATTCCCGTGCTTATTAAAAATTTTCATGAAAATAGCATTGATTTGCTTTATTTTGGTCAATAATAAAAATTAGTTTTAATTGAACAAAAATATAAGAAAAAATCACATTTTATTATCTGATGTTTATTATCTGATGCAGCATTATAGCTATTTTATTTTGTTTTTACTTTTTTTTTTTTTTTTTTAGTATGTTTATTTGCTTTTCTTTATTTTTATGATTTATTCTAAAAGCATGTGAAAGAATTTATGCCTAATAGTGACACAAAGTACAACTAACATGTAAAAGTAAATATCCTTTTTTTTAATACAGAGCTCATGAGACTGTTTTGGATCCTTGTCTTCCAAAAGAATTAGTAGATGAACAAATTGTCAATAACACAAAGTTTAAAATAACAGGCACTGGCGAGTTTTCTCGGTGCAAAAACTTATTAGCTTCAAATATTGAGCAATCGAGTGCTGTCTGCAAAAAATCACCTTGCTCATTAGATGGAGTTTATCAAACTCCTATTGATTACCAGCATGTTGAGTTTTATGGCTTTGCAGAATTTTGGTATTCATCAAACGATGTTCTTAATGTTGGAGGAAAATATTCTTATGATTCATTGCAAAATGCAGCACAGGTACGCAAAAAGGTTTTTGTATATTTTAATACAATAAATTAAAGATTTACATAAAAATAAATAAAAATAAAAATGAAAAAGTAAAAGCTTTTGCTAAAAACTAATAACAGTGGACCAATGAGACTGCCAGGTTTTATGGTGTGTCAATTAAATCAAATGTTTTTTATTTAAGAGTATTTGTTTTACAATAATAGAAAAAGTTTTTTTAAAAATAAATATTAAGTGCTTAGGGTCCCAAATGGGGCAAAAGGGAAGTATGAGGGGCCCTGAACCTGTTTAATAATTTTTTTCTAACATTTTATTTGTTTGTTTTTTTTCTCTTTATATTTAGTTTAGAAATTTAGATCTGCAAAGTTATTATAAAATTATTGTTTTTTATTTTTTATTAGATCCTGGGGGCGCTCATGTGTTCTAGCAAAACAAGAATCTTTTACAACCTTAAAGTCTTTCAAACATTTAACAATCGGAAAAATATCAGGAAACTTGGATAAAACAACTCTTTCTTAGAAATATTACATTCATAAAATGTTTCATATTGGATTTCTTTGAATTATTTCGAAAGTGTATCTTTAATACCAATAGTAATTAGCTTTCAAGTGTCCGCAATTTACCACACATTTCACCTAATTCTCCTTCACACTAAAGACAAGCTTTTTTTCCTGCATGACTTGAAATTCCAAAAACTGAATTAGCACATTTCAAATCAAAGGCGGCTGAAAATTTGACATCTTGTAAATTGAATTTCTCTAAAATTATTCTCAAATTGAAGTTTGATTCTTTACCATCTTCAACTATGGAAAGGTGACAGCCCTGTACACCATTATTTAAGAATAAAATTGAAGTTGTATTTTCATTAACATCAAAAGCATTAACAATAACCTTTATGAAACCACCTCCTCCATACAAAGTAATATGAACAAACGTCGACTGGGGGTCAAGACGACACTAATTTATTAAACCCAGAATGAAATTAGATGTGTTTTGAATAAAAATAAGGTCTTTTATAGTTGTGTTTTACTTTAATTATACCAGAAAAAACTTACATAAAAAAACATACTAGACTTGATGCTAATGGGATCAGGTTCTCTACTGTAGATAAAGAAGAGCAGTTGTGTAAATGTTCTTTTTCAATATTTAGAAAAACATTTACTCCATAATTTAGATAACACAATTGAGTTTGATGTACTTGAAACTTTTTTAGTGTGAATTGTTGAAGACGAGCTGTTCTAGTCATCATCCTCCATTCAATCTTAAAACAAATTTAAAAGTTATTATTATTATTATTATTGTTATTAATATTATTATTATTATTTCTTTATATATATATATATATATATATATATATATATATATATTTATATATATATATAAATATATATATATATATATATATATATATATATATATATATATATATATATATATATATATATATATATATATATATATATATATAAATATATATATATATATATTTATATATATATATTTATACATATATATATATTTATTGAAAAACAATGTTTTCCATTTAAACAATTGAAAAAATAAACTGAATATGCTCTATAATTTTTATATATGCTGTATAAATATTTTGAAAAAAAAAGTTAAAAGCATATCATGTTGGGTTTCAAAAGAAGTGAAATTTTATAAAAATTTAAAAATTAATATTTTATATAAAAATTACTAGTTTAAATTTTATGGCCTAAAAACTATCATTTTTTTAACTTAAAAAAGTACATATTTTCATATTTGTGTTTCCATAAATTTTTAGATTTATTTTAAGAATTTTTATAAATTTCACTTTATTTAAGACCCAACATGATATGTTTTTGAAAAACTTTTTTTTTTTAAATATTAAGGACCCATCTGAAGTTTAAGGGTCTTGAGTGATGCCTAAAAGTGTTTTTATTCAAATTTTAAATTGAGTTTTAGTTTATTACATAGATCACATTTAGGGGGTGGCGGCAGCCTTTTTCAAAAAAGGTTTTTCTTAGAATCACCATATATATATATATATATATATATATATATATATATATATGTATATATATATATATATATATATATATATATATATATATATATATATATATATATATATATGCGATCGGATAAGATCTTTATATCTCCTTACCCATGGAGTCCTGTCATCCATTAGCCTTGATTACTGATCCTCTAGCTTTCATTCTTGATTAATGAAAACACTCTTGGCAAGTGCTTTCACAGTTGTTTGTCTTTCACAAATCCAAGAATTTCACCTCTGACAACGAAATACAGATGCCCCCATTTGTACCTCTTAATCATTACTTCAGTCGTAGAAACCAACAAAATAGAACCAAAGTCCTATTCCATTATTCCATACTCATTTCAAGCGAAAGCCTGCTTTGAACACTCTAATTTTTTCAAAGTAAACGTCACAAATCCGACAACCACACAGCGCAGTACACCTGCAATCTTTGCTAAGAAGAACAGACCCGCCAGTAGCTTACCTTGCAGTGAACCGACGGGCCCGCTTTGAAATCCAACTACGAGCTTTTTAACTGCAGCAACTTTAATATCACTATTGGAGCTGGAACTACCGCGGCTGCTGGCACCAGACTTGCCCTCCAATTAATCCTCGTTAAAGGATTTAAATTGTTTTCATTCTGATTGCGTGACCTATAAAGGCCCCGTACCGTTATTTCTTGTCACTACCTCCCGAATCAGGATTAGGTAATTTTTGTGCCTGCTGCCTTCCTTAGATGTGGTAGCCATTTCTCAGGCTCCCTCTCTGGAATTGAACTCTAATTCTCCGTCAGCCAATGCAACCATGGTAAGCCACTACCTTACCATCAACATTTCATAGGGAAGAAATTTGAATGAAACATCGCCGGCGCAAGGCCATGCAATTGGAAAAGTTATCATGAATCACCAAGCAAGTGGACCGAGGCCCACATTGATTTTGTGATACATCAAATTTATGTGATACATCATGATCTGTCTGAGAATACTAAGATTAAGAGCTTTGCCTTGGAGGTAAAAAGCTAAAGAAATGTATCAGCCATAAATCTTGCTTCTTGATGTGCACTTAGTTGTAGAAACCTAAAGTTCAACAAATCTGCTTGGAGGTAAAAAGCTACTGATTGACATAAGTACTTGTAATCACCTCTGTCAAAAATATTTCTTTTAAGAGCATTTGTGCAGAACTCCATTGTTTCGTTTGCAAGATTGTAAAAGAGGGTTCCAAAAGCAAACTCAGGTCTGTTCCAATCAAATTTTTCAATGTTGGCCAATGTATTCACACCTTTTTCAATCTTAGATCAAAGATCTTTATGTTTTTAATATAAGGATCGACTGGGTCCCTTTGTTTCTCCATGTAATTCCATCATAACATGATGAACATGTTGTTCAATTATATGGTACCTAAATTTATTATTACTATCATTTTCTGTCATTACTCTCAGAAAAAATGGAAAGAAAAAAATGTCTGTAATTTATATAATAAAGCATCATACCTGCACATTAGCCAAAGAATTGGAAAGGTAGAGAGTAAACTGCAATATTTCTAGTTGCACCATTATATTTTTCCAGTGTTTAAGTGAGTTGCGTCAGCACAACAACCTATGATCTGGTCTGTAAAGTCTTAATATTCCACAAGACTTTGGATAGCCAGTGCTTGATCTTTCCCTTTGGAGTAGGGTACTTCAAGTATTCCCAGTAGGAAATCAAGTGAGTTGGTCTCTGGAGAGAAAACACTAATTGCTAACTTTTTTACTGTTTCCAAAATCTTTATCTCTGTTCTGTCCTGCTTGACCAACTTTGTGTCAAAGTGAAGAACAAGTTTTAAACCCCTTATCTTATACAGGTTCTACTTTCATATTATAAGTGCTTCATTCTCTATAATTTCATATTTTTTTTGCCATCTGTGACTTAAAAAATGTTCAACACGTTAATATCTACTCCCTCAGCTTGGAATAAGGAAGACAACATTGCTGTTTCACCTCTTACACTAACTTGATACCTAAAAAAAAATAGAGCATTATCATTTTTTAAATTATATAAAATTTAAGTTGTTTTAACTTGAAGTTTTATATATACTTGTAATATACTTAACTTTTTTATATATAAAGTTATTTACCTTATCATAAATAGAATCCACTTATTCAAAACATCATTCAGACTAAGTTGAAGGCAAATCTTGGTTGAATCATACAACTTTTTTTTCTTTACAGTAGGAGTTTCAAAGTCTGAACCATAATATGTTCCACTACACCCACTGGAGAATTCTTGCTCAAAATTTCTCAAAGCTTCTTCTGCTTCTTTTTCCAGTATTTGATTTTCTTTTTTTTTTGCTCATCAATTGCTTTCAGTCTCTCCTCCTGTTGTTCTTCTTCTGCCATCTTCCTCACTCCTCACCAGGTTTTTTATTCTTTCCTCATCTTCAGCAAATGTTTTGTCATTTTTGTAGGACATTTTGACCATGTCCCCTTTCAAACATTTTTTCAAAAAAAATTGAATCCTCCTTTACAGCTTCTTTACTTTTTCTAGGATCCTGGCTAATTAAATTGAAAATGTCTTCCTTGTGTATAGGAAATAAAACATAGGCTTTGTCTAAGAAATCTTGAGTATGTTGGCTCATGGTTTCTTTGCTTATCTCTAAGGTTCTCATCTTTAGAACTTTAATATACTGAGTATACAGAGCAATGATACTATTCCTAAACTAAAATGTAACAACATTAAAAAAATTTCAACATTTTAAAATATATCATAAAAACTTATATCTAATTATATATTACAAATTAATATGTTTCACAGAATACTTAATTTTTATGAAGGATTTTTGATAGAGAAAATTGCTCTAGTATATTTAGAAACTTACTTAATCGATAGTCACTGATAATAAAATTTTCATCAAAGCCTGACTTATTCCTAATGTTAATCAGCTCCCTTATGATGGACACATTTGATATTTCGTTTCTGCTATCAGCATAACACATACCACCTCTGCATTTAAGTTTATCTGTACTCTCCAAAGGACATCCAATTTTAGATGACAATGTTTTGATTGCAGTTACATGACTCTGGGTAATCCAGTAAATTCTGCATTAAACTTCCCCACCGGTTGGAAGTCTATTTGGAGAAAATATCTGGAGAGGGTACCCCAACAGATAAAGAATTCTTCTTCCACTAGCTTTTCCAAAATGCCCTGCACTAACCATATTTAATAGTATTTTCTATTAAATGTGAACATTAGTTCTTTTCTTTTTTATGTTTTTAAAAATAGTACAAACAATAAATAGTATAACTTTCAAAATTCCTAAATACTAGAAATACTGCTTTAAACAACCTTTATAACAACTTGAATATATATTAAGAATTTGAATGATCATTTAACTTATGACCAAAAAAATAAACAAAGTAAGCTATAATACTCAAATTTCTTTTAATATTTAAAATATATAGATTTTTGCAGTTATACATTGGAAATATTTTTGTTTATATTTTGGTTGTTATGGCATTGTTGTGGATATAACAAACTACTTGATTGATATAAATCCAAATTATCATTACTCAAATTTAAAATTTTGCATTAAATGTTTTTGTATTCTGTGAACAAAAGATTAATGAACCAAAATTTTACTTTTTTTTTTTTTTAAATTGACTTTTGTTTTTTGGGGTACCACCATAATCATTTTATAAATATTTTATAAAATAATAAAATGAAAACAAATAAAATATATGAAAACAATTCAGTTTATCCCAGTCATCAGTGTGTTGATGGCTGGGATAAGACTCTGACCAGGACATCCGAATTAGGAAGTTACCAATCTCGGGAATGCGTTTGTAGTTCTTGAGTGATATCAGCAGCAATTGATAGGCATAGCCGAAGAACTGCAGTTGCTCATTCAAACATGTCTTTGGTCTACATTGTTGACCAGATATCTTCTGGAGTGAACACCCAGACTGTCAGAAGATGTCTGTTAATTAAATTTAAAGGTCATGTTTTCCGATGAATTAATCTTTACTCAGTACATGTGTTACAACAGAGTAGTTTGGAGACCCATCAACCAAAGGAACAATGCAAAATTAACCCCAACGATCAAACAGGCCCCAAAGATCATTGTGTGGGGCAGTTTTTGCACATCTGGCACAGGTGGTGTTTGGTTTATGCTGAACCATTAATGGACAAGTTCATATGAATGTTTTGAGAGAAAAACTTCCCCCATATAAAGCAATATACTCTGGAACCATTTTCAGCATGAAAATGGGTGCCAGACTCTTGGTGTACCAAGAGTCCTGTTGCTTGGTCCATGGCCTGGGTCAACTCTAGACTTAAAACATGTGGACAATGATGAAACAGAAGGTTAGTCAAGAACATCTAACGTCAGAGAAAACGGTAATAGAAGCCATCAGGCATGTATGGGCTACCAGTATAACACCTGAGTACTGCAAATCTTTAGCCTGTTTTATGCCTAATCAAATAGCGGCTGTTCTGAAGGCCAAGGAACAGTGTACTAAGTACTGAATCACTAGACTATGATTTTTGCAGTTGTTAATAAATAGTATAAAACGTTTGTTACGTGTTTTTGTGTCATTATAAGGGATTTTTTTGTATTACAATTCAAAATAAAATTCTTAAACAAATAATGAGGTGATTTCAAACTTTTGGCCACGGCTGTACAGGAAATATAAAATGACTGGAACAATCTTAAACAAGAAACAATTGACGCAGTTAGTATCAAACAATTCAAAAACAAATTGGATAAACATTTTAAATACTTTTATAATGTTTGTATGTTTTTTTTGTGTGTTATAGTTGTTACAGTTACAAACTCTACGTAGTTTGAACTCATCACTCTTGAAGTTCTACAGTACTATTATATTATATAACTTTACTCTTTTGCCTAAATTATGATTTTTAGCATTTTGTTCGGATTTAAAAAAAAACTCTTTTGTTGTTACAAAACAGTGTTATTTAAAAAGCGTTCTATTTGAGTGACACGACATAAAACCTTTCGGTTTCTTTGGCCACTAGTGCTTACTGGTTATTTAGTTTCTTAATTAGTTTGCCGGAAGAATATTTATGTAATAAACAATAAAAATTAATTCTTAATTAAGAGTAATTCTTTTTATATAATTTTATTAGTTGTAAAATTGCACAAAATATATAAAAATAATTTTAAACTGTTTGCAGCGTTTTTGTGACACACGGTGGTCTTTACACAAGCGGCATTATGCAATGGGATTATACCCTAAAGCAGATGATTCAAGATTTAGGTAACTATTTAATAGTTAAATTTAACATTTAAGTAATGCGTCGTTTATGAATCTAATTTATTCTTATTTCTTCTTTGTTATTAAAGGTATCAGTGTTTTAAATCTGCATGGGTTCTTTCAGTTCTTCATCATGGTCTAAAGTTTCCGCATGACTTTAATGGTCTTACAACAGCGCAAATGATCGACGGAAAAGAAGTTCAATGGACGTTAGGCGCTATACTTTATAGAACAAGGTTTATGCCGTTGAGGTAAACTCTTTTAATGCACAAATACTTTTTTTACTTATTTTTTAATTATTATTTATTATATTTTTCTAATTTTTTTTTTTTTTTTTTGTTGTTGTTGTTTTAGGGATATGCAAAATATGGAAAGTATTCATTCAACTAAAGCTCTTCATTCTGGGATTTGGATAGTCTTTTATTCTGGGTTTTATCCTATATTATTTATTTGCGCTTCAATTGCTATAATATTCATTATTATATATTGCCGCCGCATACGTAAATATAGCAGACTCCCTGACATGTATTCTATGCAGCATCCTATATTATCTAATTACACAGTGCTGTCTAACAAAGAAAAAGCTGTTTATGATATTCGAGTTGAGTTATAATCTGTTATAAATTACATAATCGATTGGAGTTTGTCGTACTTTTTAGTGTTTATTTTGTTGAATGGGGTTTATGTACTGATTTGTAAAGGTTATCTAATAAAAAAAGCTATTTATAATATTAAGTAGAGATCTGTTATAAATAATATTATTTACGTGTAAATAATAACATTAATGATGAAAAAATAAGTTTTTATATAATATTTAGTTTTTTAAGATTCAGTAAATTTGATTCATTGTAATAAGAGGAATTTTTGTTACTTTTTTAGCTTTTGTTTAGTTTTTTGTTTTTTTCTTTACAAGTTTTGTTTTTTGGGACTGTGAAAAATCACGGCAAAGTTATCTTTTTTGTCAGTTACCAACCTTTTTTTTATTTTGATGGGTTTTTATCTGACAATTGAAATTTTATTTTTAACGCCGATACTCTTATTTTGGTAAATACGGCAAATGACAAAAACGCGGATGTAAAATTTCAACCTTTTTTTTTTTTTTAACAGTATCTTTCTATGAAGTAGGCATAGCTCAAAGTACATTTTTTAATTTATTCGTACATAATTTATTGCAATTCACGCACTTAGTTGATATGATATGATGAGCGTTAGTAAAAAATTTACTCAATTATTTGCTTAATTTATTTAGTTTTTTCTTTTGAATATTTATTGTATAATGATTAACATTTAAGCTAATTCAACTGTTTTTAAAATTTTTCTTCTAAGCGAAATACTGTGGATAAAAATAAGTTGTTTTGTATCCAATATGTATCTTACAATTACACTTAATTGCTAATTAATTAACAAATAAACGAAAATAATAAGAATATGACTGCACTAGGTACATCCAAATGTATTTCAAGATTGTCCAAAAGATTGTGTATAAGAATTTAGAAAGCCAAGTGTGTCTCTGTGTGTGAAGCCAAAATTATCAAATGTTGATGTGTTTACGTTAACGCTTCCACCGACAAAAGTGCTAAACCACTGTCAAAGGATGGTTAACTTCCAGAAGTATTATACATACGCAAAAGATGGTTAACTTAAACTAATACTTAATTTTAAAACTTAAGTTAATACTTAATAAACTTAAGTTAGTACTTAAGTATAATACTTTTGGAATTCCAGAAGTATCATACTTGCAATTATTGCAGATACATCCGTTCACATACACCAATTTTTTTTTTTTATAATATAAATATATATATATATATATTATTACAAAATTAAATTTAATATGAAAAGTATATACCGTTTGTAAGACAAATTAATTACAAATATTACGAATTAAAATAAAAATTAAAGTAAACAAGTAAATAATAATAGACTACTCTACCAATAATGTCAGTGGAACTTTTAACAATATTCTAACAATAGTGTTTAAATATAGTTTCTCACATTTAAATCAATATTGTATAAAAGTAAAATACAAATGAGTGATGACAAAACTGGATATGATTAAAAATATATAAATGTATTTTCAATTGAGAAAATTACTTTTTTTAATTTTCTTTTGGACATATAATAATTCTATTCATGAGAAAAATCAAAGTTTTTTAAAATTATTTGGGTCCATAAAAAAGCTCCACGAAAAGAAATGCAAAATTTACCAAAGTTTGTTTGAAATTTCAAAAAACTCCAACGTTTTATATAAAGCAAAAAGAAAATTACTCTTTTTATTTGAACATTATCAATATGAAAAATAGGCATATTACTTGGAAGTAAATGTTTTTTAAATCGTGGATGAAAGAAAATCATTTATTTTTATCAATATTGAGTGAAAGTTTGTGTGACTTAAACCAGTCAGATATTTTTGTTAGTTCAAAGTTCATATCATAAAAAAGTTATTATTAGATAGAAATAGGCTTTAGAAATATGGTTTTTATCATCAGCAAACATTATAGTTGTTATTTTTGAGACTTTATGGAGATAACACAAATTAGAATTAATAAAGGCCCTAGTATAGATCCCTGTGGAACTCCACAAATTATATTTAGATAATCTTGTGAAAAAGATCCGTCAACAAATTGTTTGCGTTTTTTTAAATAGCTTTTTAGTAGTTTTAAAACATTACCGGTGATACCATAATGTTCAAGTTTATTAAACAGTATTTCATGCTCAATTGTGTCAAAAGCCTTAGATAAGCCTATAAAGACGTCTAAAGTAAACTTCGACGTTTCGAATGAATCAGTTATACTACGAGTAAGATGAATTATTGCATGTTCAGCAGAGTTATTTCTTTTAAAACCGTATTGATTTATGTAAAGTATATTATTAGCAGCAAGATGATTAGATATTTGGTTGAACATAATTCTTTTTAAAATTTTTGAAAAAACAGAGAAGTTAGATATTGGTCGATAATTACTGACATTTGATGGATCACCTCCTTTAATTATAGGCGTTATTTTGGCTATTTTCAATTGATCGGGAAAAATTCCTTGATTTATAGAACATTTAAAAACTTAAAAAACAATATGTTTTATGGTATCTATGAGTCTATGATTATATTACAATTTATATCATCAGGACCAACTGCTTTATTAGTTTTAAGCATTTTAAAAGCACTTTCAAATTCTGAAAAAGAATCTTCAAATTTATTTAAACTAGAAATTAATGGAAACACGTAACCATTTATTGGATTTATCATATTTGGAATATTTTTAGCTAATCTTTGTCCAACAGACACGAAATATTTATTTAATTCTCTTGCTTATTGTTTGGGTTCATATAAAAATACGCCTTTAACTTTTATAGTGTTAGGCACAGAGCATAATTTTAATTTACTATTTCCAGTAATTTGACTTATAATTTGTCAAATAAAATTTCTTTAATTCAAAACAAAATTAAATACAAAAACTACAAACACATCAATTCTAGATTCCTAAATGCATATTTATATAAATGCAATATGAGCTTTTGAAATACAAAACAAAAAAGTAACATAATATTACCAAATACAAACATGTATTTGACCAAAACATATATATCAACTGACACTTGATGTAGTTGACGGTCCTAAAAAATAAAATCCTAATTAACAAGTATATAAAATTTATGGAAAAGTAAAAAAATATTGTTACAAGCGTTATTTTTTTAGCATTAGCATTTTTTTTTTTTTTAATTTTTCTGTTCAACTTTAAATTATATCTAATTGATGTTTGACACTATCTATTTCAAAATTTTAACTAATACTACAAATTCTACTAATTTTAAATAATAATATATAATTAACTAATAATAACTAATAACTCTAAATTTTAACTAATTCTACTAATTCTAAATTTTAACAAAACTCATTTTTATTTTATTTATTGACATATATTTTGTATTTTTAGCAAAAACAAAATCAGGGTTTACATTATTAAAACTGACACTAAATGTAAGGATTTTAAGGAGACATTTTTCTAATATTTAAAGGATTTGGTCACGAAAGACAATCTTTTGAAAGAAAAAATAAGCAGAATTAAGGAGAAAATAACTACATTGAAAGCAGAATCTAATTTTTTTCAATAAATTTTTAATAAAAACAGAAAAATTATTATAATTTAACATACTACTTTAATATATATATATATATATAATATATATATATATATATATATATATATATATATATATATATATATATATATATATATATATATATATACACATATATGTATAAATACATATATATATATACATATATATACATATATATATATATATATATATATATATATATATATATATATATATATATATATATATATATATATATATATATATATATAGTATATATATATATATATATATATATATATATATATATATATATATATATATATATATATATATATATATATATATATATATATATATATATATATATATATATATATATATATATATATATATATATATATATATATATATATATATTTATATATTTATACAATAGAAAAATAGGTTTGCAATCTATCAAAAGACTATATAATTTCTTTATTAACAAATATAATCTATTCACTTTAATAAAATTTCCTAGATTATTAAAAAAAAATGAGGAGAAAATAAGGAGAGTTTCTCATCGATTACTTAGTAAATTGCCAATAACATTCTTACAAGTGATACAGTGGTTATTCATATGTTAGCCACTTTTGGCTGCTGCCACTAATGGGCCATAAATGATTACCAAAACTGCAATTAATGAATGATTACATTACATAATGAAACAAATGATTAATTATATATGATTACATTATATAATTATTAAATTATATAATGATATGAATGATTACATTATATAATGAAACAAATAAATGAGTACTAAAACTGCAATTACCTAAATTCCCTATATAGATCCACTGAAATTCTGATTTAAATGTTTTTGCTGTGTTATATATTTTTTACTAAATACTAAAACTAAAACCATAAATTTTCAAAAAATCATTATAAAAAAATCACTTCAAAAAGTATTAAATCAATTCCATTTTTAAATAAATTTTTCTTATTCTTATTTAAGTTGGATAAGTTACTAAAAAATAAATTTTATCAAATAATAAATATAAATATTGATTTTAATTAAAATTATTCATATTGAACTTTTAAAGAATGATAAAAGAGAAAAATTAATTACATCTATCGTCTAAAGGATACTTTTAGAAAATCAGATAATAAAAGAGTAGGATAAGCCACTAAAAAATGTCTAATTAAAAAAATTAAACAAGTCATAACAGTTATATAAGAGACAGGTGGTTAGAAAATTTCCTTTAGGGTAAAGGAAATTTTCTACCCTTTTGTCTCTTATATAACTGTTACGACTGGTTTAATTTTTTCAATTAGACTTATTTTTTAGTGGAAACTTTTGAACTTCACTAATAACTAATTACTAAAGTTAAGTAATTAGTTATTAGCAAAGTTTAAACCTTGATATTGTAATATTTCAAAAAGTTCATTAACTAATGTACTGGTCCAATTATTTCTAATAATGTACTGGTCCAATTATTTTGAATCTAAAAGTTGTTAATTAAAGATACTGAATTATATTGAATTATCAGCATAAACTCTCTGTTTTATTAATAAGTTTTGCTTTTGAAAAATATGACTATGCATGAGATTTTGCGATGTCTAAGTCTTTTAAACAGTCAGAACTTGGTTCTTGATATAGTATATCAATTATTATACTTGAAATACTATATAAAGTGCTAAGTATATACTTAGTATATATATAGTATATCATATACCCAGTTTTTAACTATTTCTTTCAATATCTGTATCAATTTTAATATTTTAATTTTAAGTAATTATATGTTTAAAAGTATATATGTATATAAATTAGCAAGAATGGGTCTATAAGTCGCTTTTCATTAGGTGTTTTTAAAATTCTCCTTGCATCTTTGGGAAGTTCCAAACCTTGATTAGGCAATATTTCAAGAAGATCATTAACTAATGTACTGGTCCCATTATAGAATAGCATAATGTTGTTGAGTAAAGACATTGAATTCAAAGAATTATCAGGATAATTGTTGTATGTATCATTAACAGGTTTTCCTATTGAAAAATTTGATTCGGCATGAGATGACTAAATCTTTGAAATTGTTATAGCTTGGTTCTTGATATAGCAATACTATACTAGGTTCTTGATATAGCAATACTATACAAGTAATTGATAACAAAAATAAAAATTAGATAAAATTAGATAAAGTCTTAACTCTTGAAGACTTTCGAGAAAAACCCA